CCACTCACGTATTTCTCGAGTCTTTGCTCATGTGTGAGCTTTTGTTTGTTTTCGAGTTTTCAGTTAGTTTTTGAAAGTTAATCTTATTTTTGTGCCGTGGATTTTTGCACATCCTCCTCAATAAAATAATTATTTTCTTTAAAACCTCTCCTGCCTTGAGTCGTTCTGGGGATTTCCGCATCTTGGTTCCAACCTCCTACACTAAATGTGACATAAGGACTTAAAAAAAAATCTAAAAATTCTGAAGCCTCAAAACACATTTGGGTCCCAACAGAGTTGTTAACCAACAGAGTTAGTTAACAACTAAATGATATGTAATTAGTATTATGCGTCTTCAATATTTAAATTAAACAGTCTGCACCTTTAAATGGTGAATGTTGTCACAGTGCCATTTAGTTTGATGGTGGGTAAATACTTCAAAATGGACCACAGATATCTGTGGGCAGAGTTGTCCCTGGAGATTAGAAAGAACAATTGGGAAGTATGTGAAAGATAAAGATAAGAAGACCCTCTCCTAGCATCTTGATGTTTCTTTGACTGTGACTTAAACATATAATTCAGACAGTTAAAGTTCACAGAGTTGGAGCCAGCCTCCCAGAGCATGGCCACAGTCAACAGCAACCAGCAGTAGAGGATTCTAAAAGAGCATGATTTGGGATAAATGTCTTACTGTCCAATACCTTATGACATTAGCTTTAACTTGGCCTTACACAACCACTAGAGTTGACTAAAAAAGACTAATGGTTGTTTAATGTTGTTTCTGAGTGTTCCTTCTCTGTGGCCGTCTCCAAGTTTTGGTCCTCCTCTACTTCCCTCACCTGGGGTGTCCCTCAGGCTTCTGTGCTGGGGCCTCTATGCTTCCCCTTCTATCTGCTTCCTCTTCAGCACATCCTGAGCTCCTTCAAATGAATCTCCTACCATCTTTATGCAGATGACATCCAACTGTACATCTCCTTTAAGCCCCATGAGATGTCTAAGCTGCAGCTGTTACACACCTGATTAGACTCCATTAAAACCTGGATGGCTGGGAGCTTTCTACAGCTGAATGAAGATAAGACTGAGATCCTCAACTGTGCCCCAGATATTTATCCACACCTTCATCTCCTCATGCTTAGACTACTGCAACTCTCTATTCACGTGTCTGAGCAGAACCTTCCTCAACAGTCTATAGGTGGTTCAGAATGCCTGTGCTCGGCTTCTGACCAAGTCCTCCAAACACACCCACATCACCCCGCTATGGAGCTCTTTCCCCCAGAGCCTGAGATCAGTGGACTCAGTGGTCTCCTTTAAAAAGCAGCTGAACACTCACCTGTTCAAGCTGGCTTTGGTGTGACCTTCTGTTGAGTTTTTCCTCAGTACTTTCATTTCATGCTACTATCTCCACCAACTCTCCATTTCTCAGGATCCTGTATTGCCTTTTTCTTACTCATTTTTGTCCTCCTCCTTGCTTTTCAGTTGAAATTTGACAAAAATTATGTATTTTATGATATATGAAAAATAATTTAAACATTTTTTATCATGTTTTTATTTTTACTTTTTGTTCTTGTGAAGCGCCTTTTAATTTTTATCTTGAGAGGCACTATGTAAAAAAATGTTCTTCATGTAGGCAGTCTTGGTTTAAGGCTTGAATGTGAAATGCTAAAAGTAAAGAAATCTTTGCAAAAAATCCCCTAAATCACTAATAAAAAGGTCATCATGTGGAGTTGAAAAGGTATCGCTGATAACTTAAAACGTAGTTCTTAAAGGGTAGGTATGTAGCTTGGTATCATACGAAGAAGAAACCCTAGAACCCAACAATTAACCGAAGTAACTGGACAGAGGGAAGTCGGTCAACACTTGAGCCACAGGTAGAAGAACAACAGAACAACTCGCCAAAAAGTGTCTGATGATGAGCGTTAACAGCTAGAACAGACTGTTTGGGTTCATGTCCCACACAACACTTTTTCCCATCAAAGCGACAGACACAAGCAGTCACAGAACCATCTGAACGCTGCCTACTGCTGCCGTGTAGGGGATTCATCCGAGTTAGCGCCATATTGACAGCTTTGAATCTTGATACTCTTGACAATCAGGTGGGGAAACTCTGTTGTCATCGACACCGGATCGCTGGATGTGTGCAAACATGGTGCCACGTGCCACTAGAAGGAAAACAGTAACCCTTGTGATGTCTAAATATTTATAACAAAGCTCTCATTATGTCCTTTATCAGTCTGACCTCACACACCTATATGTGTGCCATGGTGATCCTGTGATCCTAACTCAATTTAAAGTACGGTATTAGTCTAAATAAAGTTATTCTCTTTTTTTCACTGGAATCAGCTGACCTCAAGCACAGATTTCTACCGTATCACAGTGGGAGCCTTATTATTAATTATGAAGCTTTAAACTCCTCCTATGTTTTATTCAATTAATTAAATGCACAAAACGCATTGCTAATGACATCTCCTCTCACCAGTCTGAATCTAAAAAAGACCAACCTATCTAACAGCAACACATTATCTGTGATGCCTGAATTATGTGATGATGTAATAAACATATGAAAATGTTGCACTTAAAGTTATTATGGAGCAATTATGATGAAGATGATTAAACATCTGAAAAAAGATTATTAATTGTAGTTTTCGATGTTTATTTGCTCAAAAATAAAATGGCTGCTGCACTTTGTGCTTTTTTCAGACTCCAAAATCTGCATTTATATTTTTGTAAATGAAGATAGGATGCATGCTCACATTTTCACAAGTGCAAATAATTACAAGGCTTTATTCTTTTCTATTTCTTTGTGTTTCTTGAAACGAAATAGGCATGAAAATAAAAACGTGTGTGTTCCCCATCTACGTTTCTGGTCTCTGTGGATCGTTCACCAACGGGATGGAGTTCAAGGAGAGTGTTGAGCAGTCAAGTCTTATTGTTATAATGTTGTGATTGTGAGAACACCAGCAGGTGTGATTCCCATGAGGGAAAGATTTGGTCCAAGGGGAGGCATGGAAGCCCAAAAATTAATGATGTTTGTGTGTCCACTTAAAAACAAATAAGGGTGTGGAAAATGTAGCATCTGATTAAGCCAGTTTGCCTAATAAAGTTCACAAGTTCATATCTAACGATTGGTGACACCAATGGTGTTCATAACTTCAGTTATACACCATAAATGCAATGAAACAGAACAAAACTTAATGTATTCATTTTCTATCTGATGATATATTGATGGAATTTGAAATTGTTGCAGATATAAGATCTAAAACCAACTTTTTGAGTTTTTAAAATTGACCCAGTTTGTCTAAAAAACAAAAACAACATGAGCTGCTCTATTTAACAAGTATCAACTAATTTTATATTTGCTCACTTTAGATGGGGCAGAGATGCAAAAATCCAGATGAATATACTTGTTTTTCATCCATTAACTGTCTACAGGGACACAGAAACTGAATCCTCTCAACAAATCAACATTATAAGACTTTTACAGCTCAACAAGTGTAGCTGGTTTGGGTCTACTGTAATTCTGCTAAGAGGGAAACATTTCACTGTTGGAGCTTTTCAGAGGGTTGTCTAAAATCCCACACAATGAGCTGCATCCTCTGGGCCTCATTTATCCAGCTCTAAAGCAAAGTTGATTAACAGTGAAGACACTCAGTGACACACACACACACACACACACACACACACACACACACACACACACACACACACACGCACGCACGCACGCACGCACGCACGCACACACACACACACACACACACACACACACACACTAGTCTAGCATTAGTTGTGAGGACTGTCATTGACTTCCATTCATTTTAGTGACGATTGTGCCCAACCCTAACCCTAACCAATCTACTACTAACCCTAACCAAAACTTAAATCACACCATACCTCTAAAACTAACGATAGAGCTCTGTAATGTTGTCCCAGAGTGAGGAACAGCGAAATGTCCTCCTCTATTTGCAGGTAAAAGAACTTGTTTTGGTCCCCACTTTCATGTGTAGACCGGCACACACACACACACACACACACACACACACACACACACACACACACTGAAGGGTTTAAATCTGAAGAGATGCTCTACAGACACAAACCGGTTCTGATGTGCGATGTGCTCCAGCTGAGAGAAACCCACAGCACAGGACTGGACGAGACTCTGAGGTGGTCGTGTGAAATCTAAAGACCTCGGCTGAAGGGACTGCAGAGAACATAAATAATATGTAGCTGCCGGAGGACAGAACACGCTGTTACTGAAGAATGCTCTTAGTCGGCTTTTTTTTGGTTATTATTATTTATATGTTTACATAATTGCTCCACATCCGCGAAATTCTAAAGGAATCAGACAATCAGGTGATGGTCTGCTAATATTTACCCCGCAACATGGGCATCTGGATTCATTATTGATGCTGTGTTGGTGCCGCTGCATGTGGAAAGGGTGGGATTGGCGCACGGGGAGGGGGGAGATGGGGTAGGTGGGGGTCCGCCTGAAAACCCCTTCTTTTTCTCACACACACACGCACACAGTCTCACACACAGATCCCAAAGCTATTTGTTTTAACACTAATTCGAGCCAGATTCTAACGCGTGAAGCAACCGGCCATTGTGTGGCGGCAGATCTGGCTTCAGGTGTGCGCTACCCGCAGTGATGCTGAGCCAATGCAGCGGCAACACACGCCCCTCCGCCCGCTCTGCCAGCCTCACACACACGCGCGCGCACACACACTCACATACACACACATGCACACACATGCACACGTAAGTCTGAGCCGCCAAAAATATATACGAACAGTAAACCCATCTTGCGCTGTGAAAAATATGTTCAATCGTGGTGAGATGTGAGTTCCCTTGGAGAAGATGCGCGCGTGCAGCTGGGTAAAAATGATTCAGAGGTGGGCGCCCTTCATGAAGGAACACATGTGACATGAATGAATAAAATCACCTAAATCCAAAATGTGAATAAAAACGCTAAAAATAAACCTGTTTTTAAATATAAAAGAGTCCTGATTCAGTGGTCTACTTACGCACTGCCTCCTTTTTGGGGTCCAGGGCACTGGCAGTTTGCTGTATCTGGCCTATTTTGTTCTGGAGGACCCAGACACGCTGGTTGGTGTTGAAGATGTCGTTCTCCAGCTCCTGAAATAAGGAGCAGGCATGCCGTGCCAGCTCGGACAGCTGTCGCAGGGTCCTGGAGAGGACCACGTTGCTGATGGCACACAGGTCCTCGAAAAGCAGACCTTCATCATTGGGGATCTGGTGTCTGCACAGAAGCTGCGGCTCCACAATCCGTTTGGCGAATGGCATTTTGCTCGCCAGGAATAAGAGAGGTTGTAAGCCGAGTGTAAATCCCCGCCACCGAGAAGGAAATGGTCAAAGGAGAGGAGACACAACATCAAAATGTTTAAATCCACGAGAAGCCCGATCAGGTTCGGGCCGACGGCGCGTTATTATCCCCGGGCGTCAATCCAAAGTTCCCAGATTCTCCTTGAGATCCTCCATCCTGATTTCTGGGGATCACTCACACTCCCGCTCACACACACACGCACACACACGCACACACATGCAGGGCACAGCTAAGCCCAGGTCAGTGGCGTGAGGATGCGTGCGGAGTCTGCGATCATGGGTTGCCTCCGTGTTGCGTCAATTAACGCCAGCAAGAGGGAAATGGCGCTCAAGCACATCAAAATAAAAGGGATGTTAGAACAGGGGCAAAGAAAACTGGTGTTAGACGCAAAATATTCAATCAAAATATAAACTAGACGCACAGGAAATATTTTACAAGGGTTAGATTTTTAAAAAGCAAAACGTTTTTATTGCATTCTGCTAAATTGTAGCTTTTATTTTGGTGGTTCCTATCGTGCTTTTCCGATTGCGCTGTGGTTATTTTCATGGACTGTGATGCAGAATGGATCTGTGGCCAGAAGAATGTTCAGACTGGGAGGATGAGAAGAAGACTGAGGGGAAACCCGGAGATGGGTAGGGAATGTTCGCAGGAACTCCTGTCAGCATCCATGCCGATGGAGAGCAGCTGTAACGAGATCAGGCTCTGATGGTACACCCTCCAGGTTCTCCAGCCGTGATGGAAGCCAACAGGATCTCTCAGACCTGATCTCAGAGGGTTGTAGACGTTTATTTGTGAAAAAAATCAAACTCAAATCAGTGCAGACAAAAACGGAAGGAATGCACGTCCTAAAACTGCCCCTTTCATGGAATAACATGGCTTAGGCCTGTGAATGGTAAAGAGAGAAGACTAAGTCGTCATGGCTGAAAAATGAACTGTTTCACGAAGTAGTTATTTGTCAGGAAATGCCATTGTACTGTAATGTATATGTAACTATGGAAACATGTTTGTTCTGTGTCATGTTTCCCCAAATAAATAAATAAATAAATAAATAAATAAATAAATAAATAAATAAACAAATAAATAAAATACATTTTGAATTCAGAGCAAGCAGATTTAATATTTAAAAAAAAGTATTATTTAAAAGAGGCAGTCTAAAAATATAATTGATAGTCATGATTTGTCACGTTTTAAATGAAGTAATGCCCTTTATGCTTGGTGTTGTGTTTTAAATCATGATTTTAAAAGATAACAAAAACAAAACTGAACATTTGTTTCTAAATTCTCGCTCATTTTTAGTAATTTTACTCTTAAACTGAAGAAGAAGAAACAATATTTTATATAGCACCTCTCAGTAAAGATAAAAATCACAAGGCACTTCACAAGAATGAAAAAATAATTGAAATTCAAAGATTAAAAAAGATTGAAAATATAATTAAATAAAAAATTTATTAAAACTGTGATAAAAATGTAAGGAAAAGGGAAAGAGAAAATGAATAAGAAGGAATTAATCAGTGGATCCTGAGAAAGGCGGAATAGGAGAAAGAGCAGATTAAGGAGAGAGTGGTGATGAAGGTCACGCAAAAGCCAGCCCGAACAGGTGAGTTTTCAGCTGCTTTTTAAAGGAGGCCATGATGTGGGTGAGTTTGGAGGACTTGGTCAGAAGCCGAGCACAGGCATTCTGAACCACCTGTAGACGGTTCAGGGAGGTTCTGCTCAGACACGTGAAAAGAGAGTTACAGTAGTCTAAGCGTGAGGAGATGAAGGTGTGGATAACTGTCTCAAGTTCAGAGCGGGACAGAATGGAACTCAGCTTAGCAATGTTCCTGAGATGGAAGAAGGAAGAGCGAACAAGAGAATTGACATGAGAATCCAGGGTGAGAGCTGGGTCAAAGGTCACATAAAGATTCCTGACAGAGGGTTTGGTGTGAGAAGCAAGCTGACCGAGAGTCTCTGACTTTGGGAACCGGGGCTCAGATGTGGATCTCAGTCTTATTATCATTCAACTGTAGAAAGTTACCAGCCATACAGTTTTTGATAGAGTCTAAGCAGGTGTGGAACAGCTGCAGCTTCTCATGGGGCTTGAAGGAGATGTACAGTCGGATGTCGTCTGCATAAAGATGGTAGGAGATTCCTTTAAAGGAGCTCAGGATGTGCTGAAGAGGAAGCAGATAGAGGAGGAACAATAGAGGCCCCAGCACAGAACCTTGTAGGACACAGTGGAAGGACATCACAGGAGGAGTCAACAAATTAAACATCTGACTCTTCTGCAGCTCTAGCTCACACCTCAAAAACCAAAGAATATTTGGCTTGGTTGATTAATTTACTGTGTCTAAATGATGTTTTCTCACACATGTGCTATGCTTCCACCAACGAGTTCAAATTAATATGCATTTTGCCCCTTATTGCAAAATAAAAGTAAAACAGACCCAATTAATAAGATAAGTATTGTGAAAACATTTTTTTGTGTGTTCTAACATAAAAGCCAAGGGAAATTTATGATTATTTTGTAGATTCTGTTAAAGAAAATGATTAAAATACAAAATGAAATTGAGCCTAATGCAGTGGAAACTGTCTGTACTGCGTAGTGGTTGTTCATTTCATTGTTTCTTAATTGCAAAACCGCAAACTTGCCAGAAAACTTCACATAAAACACAAGCCTACAGTAGCTAAATGATCACTGAACAGATGTTTTTTCCTTTTATGCTGAATGTGTTTTTTCATCCAGGATCCTAAGCCTGGTCATTGTCTGGTTCATGCAGTGATTAGCCCGTGGCCTCCAGGCTCAGAGCCCATATAGACATGTCTGCAGTAAACTTGCAGTTACAGCAGATTTGAGACAGTGCAGATTGACAGTAACTTGTGGTTGGCCTCACTCTGCAGAGCAAAAACACTCATTTCAGGCTGTTTCACATGAATCAGAAAGATGTGGGTCAGAATTAACACAAAAAACTCTTCGTGCTCCAAAACATTCCAGTATGCACCACGATGAATGTGTGGCACATGAGTCAGTTTATTCAGATAACCATTTCAATGTGTCATGATTCTGATGCTCTGCATTGTTCCAAACAGATTGATTAAATGTAGAGGTGTGTTTGATGAGGTAGCGCCGAGCCTTTTGTTGGAGTAGAAACTTTCTGTGCACCTTCAGAGTCAGGTCGCCCATGGCTGTTTCATATCAGTTTAATTTGAATGATGCAGCCATTATATATAAATATTTTTTTTGTTTCTGCCTTTACTTACTTTCGTTTCACTTTGAAGTTAAAGAAATTCATCTGAAAAAGCAGCAGATGAGAAGATCTGTGATGAAGATTTCTTTCATCATTGTGCAAGATTCAAATAATGCAGAGGGTGCAAACATCATGATCCTCCCTGATTGAAGCATTAAAAAAGAAAACAAACAACAATCTAGAAACCCACATATAGGTTTTCACTACACATTTCTTTCTTTCTTTCTTTCTTTCTTTCTTTCTTTCTTTCTTTCTTTCTTTCTTTCTTTCTTTCTTTCTTTCTTTCTTTCTTTCTTTCTTTCTTTATTTATTTGGTTGGTTGGTTGGTTGGTTGGTTGGTTGAGGACTCGGTTGCTTGGAAATTTCGTTTTTTGACTGTAAACCTACAAACCTGTAATTGTAATTAGGTCCAGTAGAGGGCGCCATATCCCATTCCTTGAAGGTATTTATTTATTTATTTACTTATTTGACTTTTTAAACGCAAACAGATTTAGGGAAATAAATCAAGACACCAAAATAACTTAACCACGGGCATTTTCATTTTTATTGTGAAAACATATTTTAAGGTAAGTCTCACATACAAAGTGATAACAAATACAAACGTAGAGTTCTGGGCTGGTGTTAGATTTTTCACCTGCTTGTTTTTGCAGCCGAGGTTGTTGAGCAAGAATTAGTTAATAAAATGTTGGAGTGTTATTATTAAACTTTGGCCCCTTTACTGATTCCTTATCAATGATTCGTGATGGGAACTCACAGCTCATCCCTGGGCTAGATAAGGAAACTGGCGATTCACCTTGGGTGATGTTTCCTGCTTTCTTCACTTTTCTTTCTTAAAACTGACTTAATGATGTGACGGTGTCAGCGGCATCAGCTGTTCCTCACAGGCTATTAAAAAAAACAGTAGGCCTATGTGTTAAAGTAAAACGTGAAACTTAAATGCTAATCCACTGTTCCGCACATGGACGTGCATAGAGATTCATTTATTAGATTTCTCAAAGAAAAAGAGCAAAATCTAAACTTAGAAAATGGCAACGATTCCAAACCTGTGGGAGATTCAGATTATGGTTGTGTGTTTGTAGTTCATAACAAAGTCAGATTAAATATTAAACAAATCCATTTCAGACCCTTAAAAGCCCACAGTACACACATACTTACTGCAGAGATCTAAAAGGAAAACTTAAAAACAAATGTATTAAATTGGAAAAAAAGTTAATGGAAGCAACATCCAACCCATTTATTTATTCTTTTGTTTCCTCTATTTAAAATATGTGTAACTATAAATAAAAATAATAAGATACTACAAAGAAAATAAAATGAACAAAAGAAGCACTAATCCCACAAATGACTCAAATGGAATCAACAACAAAACGTGTTGATCCATCATGATAGAATTCAGCGAGAGGCTTTTATCAAGAGATGTGACTCAAACACAGTGAGGATGATATGTGACTGATTATGTATCAACGCTTTCTGCATGAGGACAAGCTGTGACGCTGACAAATCGTATCTGTAAATTAAAACTCAGATATACCCTCAGTTATGGCTCTGCTGTCCAAAGGCCAAGGCAGAGCAGACGGTTATTAAATCTGTTCAGTTGTACCCTGAGCCACCTTCTCAGAGTCACATTGTGTGTGTGAGTGTGTGTGTGTGTGCTTGGAGGAGACACTGCCGACATGAGGATTCTTATAACGTTGCTGGCTTTGTCCTGCGCTGCTCTGGTTGAGGCCCAGGTAGACGTGGAATCTCAGGCAAAAGACTTTCTGCAGAGGTTCGACCAGAATGCCACTGCAGAGATGTACCAGTACTCGCTGGCCTCCTGGGCCTACAACACCGATATCTCCAAGGAGAATTCAGACAAACTGGTAAAAACTGAGCTTTCATTGTTACTAGTACATTTTTTTAGGTTACTGACTGAAGCCTGTTGTTATGCTGTGCAGGCTGAGCAGAGCCAAATTTGGGGTAACATCTACAGCCAGATGTCAGAGGAGTCTGAAAAATATCCCATCAACCAGATCAAAGACCCAGAAGTAAAGTTCCAGCTCATCTCCTTACAGGACAAAGGCTCTGGAGTTCTTTCTCCGGATAAAGCGTCACACGTAAGAGATCCTGTTAGACTTCACTGTGATACAGTCTGATGGTTACAATCTAAACGTGGACTCTTCAGAGCTAAGCCATGACTCTATGTCTGTGTTTCTTGCAGCTGAGTAACGTGATGAGTGAGATGAGTACGATCTACAGCACAGCTACAGTGTGCCTGCTAGATGACCCCTTTAACTGTCAGACTTTGGAGCCAGGTAGGCTTTGTTAATACAGAACAGCGGAAGCAGCACAACTTCCTGCCATAGATAATAATGTTATCAATTAACTAAGTCACTAAAAATAAGAACATGCTGTTTCAACTGAAATCATTTGTTCTGCAAATATTAAGAAGTATGCTTGAATGTATCTAAAAGTTGTCCACATAGAGTGTATCATTAAAAAGCATGACGTTCTGCACTTTTTGTTCATGCCCTTCATTGGGTCTTAGTGGTGATGTGATGGAAACATAACCATAGAGTGGAGTTGGATATCGCGGTCTGACTGGTTTCTCCGTGTTTACAGGTCTGGAACACGTGATGGCCAGCAGCACAAACTACTCAGAGCGTCTCCATGTGTGGGAAGGCTGGAGGAGAGAGGTGGGGAAGAGGATGAGGCCTTTGTACGAAGACTATGTGGACCTGAAGAACGAAGCAGCCAAACTAAATGGTAAAGAAGTCAATAAAGCATGATATTCTTGTTTGGTTTCATTTTATTACTTTTTATTTTTGGTAACACACACCTGCATCTACAGGCTTTGAGGATTACGGAGCTTACTGGAGGTATAACTATGAGACCATTGAGGATGATCCTCAGTTCAAATACGACAGGAATCAGCTGATGGATGATGTTCGTGCAATTTACAAACAAGTATGTATGTCCATGTCAGTGGCATCAGCTGATGAACATTCATATGAGTGAAAATACACAGAGTCGCGTTGAAAGTGGACAGAAATTTTTGTTTCATCTTTTTTTTTGGCAGATTTTGCCTCTATACAAAGAGCTGCATGCCTACGTGAGAGCCAAGCTGATGAAGGTTTATCCAGGACGCATTGATCCAGAGGGACCTCTACCTGCCCACCTGCTGGGTATCCATCTATACACCCATCATGTTTTATATTCATCCAGCTAGTTCCTACCTTCTTTCCTCTGAAATAACTCGGGATAATTTAGGCAAAACATAAATATTTTTATTATGAAATTTCTACTAAAACAAAATTGCGAAGCTTTAAAAACAAACAATTCTGTCATTTAACAAACAGATTGAGAATAATAGGCAACCGTGTTGATTGTTCAGGTGATATGTGGGGACGATTCTGGACCGACCTGTACCCTGTGTCAGTCCCCTACCCAGACAAACCCAACATCGATGTCAGCCAAACGATGGTAGATCAGGTATGGAACGTTTTCCTTGTCACACTTGAAATAAAATGTCCAGAGTTGCGGATTTAAGGGTTTGGTAGAACATTGTAACTGTCCCTTTAAAACTTCAGGGTTGGGATGAGCTTCGACTTTTCAAAGAAGCAGAGAAGTTTTTCATGTCCGTGGGCCTGTACAAGATGTTTGACAACTTCTGGACTAACTCCATGCTGGTGAAGCCCAACGATGGACGCAAGGTGGTGTGTCACCCCACAGCCTGGGACATGGGCAACAGAGAGGACTTCAGGTGGAACAATAACACACACAAACACACAGGGACATGTCTCTTTCTTATTGGCCTCAATGACATTTTGTAGATTACCTGATTATCTCAGTTATTATCAGCACTGGAATATAAAGCTGCTAGAAAAGTGATATTGATTGATCGCTGAGTCATTCTTTATTGCTGATAAACACAACCAGAGCCAGGTTTGTAAAATATTAGCCAGCATTATTATCCACACAACTGACAAGGCAGTTTTCCCAAATGCAAACTAAAAAGTTTGTAGCTTGTCTTTTATCAGTCTGGGTAAATATTACCAAAATAAAGCTAAACCATAAAACATCTTTTCTTCTCTTGTGGTTGTTATACTGGATCCATCAAGAACATGTTGTTACTTTGATTGCTTTATTGGTGCATCACAAATGGAGCTGCTGACATCAGCATTTCTGTCATATCTCCAGGATAAAAATGTGCACCAAGGTCAACATGGACGACTTCCTCACAGTGCACCATGAGATGGGTCACAACCAGTACCAGATGGCTTATCGTAACCTGTCTTACCTTTTGAGAGACGGGGCTAATGAAGGTTTCCACGAGGCTGTGGGAGAAATCATGTCCCTCTCTGCTGCAACGCCGAAGCATCTTAAGAGCTTGGGCCTTCTGCCTGCTGACTTTGTTTATGACAATGGTGCGTTTAACTGAGACAGTTCTTAATATTCACCAAAACACTACAGGTAGCTGAGCTACAGGTAGCTCTGCTGCTAATTTCCACTGCAAACAACCAAAGAAATCTCTGTATAAATACATGTATGGCTGTGTGAGAAATGTCTGCTTTGCAACTGGCCCCAAATTAGCAGTTAGCTCATCAATCTGGTTACAACTAACCCCTGTTTCCTCAGACTTATGTGTGAATACAAAATACACCATTGCTAAGATAATTACCCCTGAGTTTTTAAGGAAATCCAGTCACTTTAAAATAATAAACTGCAAAAATAATGTTTCTGAGACTTATTAGATCCTAAACTTCTCAAATAATCAGAATGACATTTTGTTTCTTCATAGAAACTGAGATCAACTTCCTGCTGAAACAGGCGCTCACCATTGTAGCCACGCTGCCCTTCACCTACATGCTGGAGGAGTGGAGGTGGCAGGTGTTTGCAGGGAATATTCCCAAAGATGAATGGATGAAACGCTGGTGGGAGATGAAGTAAGTCTGCTGTCACTGACACTAACGTACTACTAAAATTTGTGTAATATTTGTTCTAAAAATAGAAATCTGGAGTTTTTTCCGAGGAACTAGTGATGGAAAATGTGTTGCATCTTAAGCCCCTCTCCCTACTTCAGTGATTACGGCTGGAAGCAACACCTCTCGTTTGCTCCTCTAGCCTGGCCAACAGAGCTAAAACACATTGATTTACCACTATTATTCACACACACACACACACACACACACACACACACACACACACACACACACACACACACACACACACACACACACACACACACACACATATATATATATATATATATAAATATATATATATATATATATACATATATATATATATATATATATATATATATATATACATATATATACATATATACATATATATATATATATATGTATATATGTATATATATGTATATATGTATATATATATATATATATATATGTATATATATATATGTACACACACGCTCTGTGACTGACATCTGTATGTCGTAAGCGGATGTCTAACACTCTTGTTGCACGGGGCTATACGGGACAGGTAGACGTATTGCTTACATTATATCCTGAGTGAGAATATCACTTTTTTGGATTTCTAAAATGTAAGACATAACTCCTGAAAGGGGGAAAACTCCAGATTGCAGCTTTAATGAACAAGCGTGTTATAAAATATGACAGATGTACAACATAATAGTTCATGATGCTTTAACAGGAGGGAGTTGGTGGGAGTTGTGGAACCGGTACCCAGGGATGAAACTTACTGTGACCCACCTGCTCTGTTCCATGTCTCTGGAGATTATTCTTTCATCAGGTGAACGTTTTTGCACATTTGGAAAATTAAAACATGTCAGATTATGGAACTGTTGCCTTTGCTTGGAGTTAAGTTAAATTCCCTTTGCTGATCAGTGAAGTTTCTTAGAGATAGACAAATCAGGAAATGCAAAAAAATTAGTTTTTCTTAAGTAATAAATATGTCATCACAGTAAAATGAACTTTTTAATAAATACTTATCACATAAATGCACAGTTGTCAGAGCTTTGAATGTTGTCGTGAATCCTGATGATTCACTAATATTTTAAGAAGAAAAATCACCAATATTTCCAAACTGAAATGTTTTGCTCCAGGTACTTCACCAGAACCATTTACCAGTTTCAGTTCCAGAAAGCACTCTGCGATGCAGCAGGTCACACAGGACGTCTGTCTTCATGTGACATCACAGGGTCCACAGAAGCAGGAACCAAACTGAGGTACACACAACTTCTTCTTTTTATATTCTGGTCATCATATTGTTGGATTTTAATAAACACATTTATAACTGTTGTGCTAATTGCTTGGTGCTGTTATTTTTCTAGGAATATGTTAGAACTGGGAAGATCCCAGTCCTGGACCAGAGCTTTGAAAACCATATCTGGAGACGTTCAAATGGATGCTGGTCCCTTGTTGGACTATTTCAGAACACTTTATGACTGGTTGAAGGAGGAGAACAAGAAAGAAAAAAGGGCTGTAGGCTGGAGGACAACAGTGGATCCATGTGAGTAAAGTACTCTCACCTTTGATATGTTTTACTGTCTTTCCACTTTAGTTTTATTGTTTTTTTTCTCAAATCTAGACTGATAACGTTGTTCTTTGTTAAACCTTGTTTCTATATTTATGTATTTAGTTGTCCAGGAACTTTTAACGTTTCCCTTAAACATGGAGGAGTCTTTCTATAACTGGGGCAAAAACAAAAATGTTGCAACTTTTTGAGGAAGTATTTTTGTAAAATTAAAAAATCCCTAGAGAGATTTTAGGAAGTTGTGTTCATGGCACTTATGAACACATCAGTTATTTATTTGTTTTCCATGAGATCGAGATGTGTAGCTGGAAGTCTCAGGATAATTAATAATACACGTTATTGGCTCAGTGGGCAGCTCAGCTAAGTCTGATTTAATGGGACAAAGGACATTTGATCAATGTCAGTGATTGTTATCGTTTGCTTTGACAGATTCAGACTTCGCCATAAAAGTCAGGCTTAGTTTGCTAGCTGCCATGGGTGAGAATGCTGTGAGTATTACTTAATTACATCTGTAGTGGTAAAAACCTATTTGAGTTTATATTGGTATAAATATGAATGTGTGTGTCTTAGTATTCCTGGAACTCCAATGAGATGTACCTGTTCAAGGCGAGTGTTGCTTATGCGATGAGGCAGTACTACAGCCAAAAGAACCAGACCCTTCTGTTCACGTCAGTATTCTCCATCATCCTGATGAATGTAAATCAAGCTCTTGGCTTTTTTTTTTTTTGCTGCGTTTTCTTCAAAAGTCTATTTAAAAATATTTTATCAACAGAGCAGAAAATGTTCTCACCTATAATGAAACGCCCAGGATCTCCTTCTACATCTTGGTTACCAACCCGGCAACTCCATCTATCTTCATCCCAAGGGCCGATGTGGAAGAAGCCATCAGGTGTGGAACATAACGTGACTTGAATCTGATGATTTTCAGCTTGATGATGTCATGACCAGTTTTCAAAGATCTAAATCTGTTTATCCTCTATAGTTTATGAACACGTGTGATAGCTTGGCTAGTGATCAGCATGCACCTTTGGTGTGGATGTGTAAAGTTCTTGGAGAGAGATTCAGTGGGTCACGGGGTTTGACTTGGAGAAACAGTTGGTGCACTTGTGATAGTTTAGCATTCTGACTGATGTCACGGTCTGTTTAAATATTGTCTCAAGAAAAAGATCCAGCTGATAGGAACCAGATTTTAAAAATGTTATGTTCCACTGTTCATCTCAGGCAAAACCGAGACCGAATCAACGATGCCTTCCAGTTAGGCGACCACACACTGGAGTTTGTGGGAATTGTCCCGACTCTGGCTTCACCTAATGAGCAGCCAGTGGAGGTGTGGCTGGTAGTCTTCGGCGTACTGATGAGCATCGTGGTATTAATGGGTGTCTACCTAATCATATCTGGTATCAAAGATCGCAAGAGGTAAGTTTTCTCTTTAGGAAATATCAAACAGGGTCACTTTGATGGGGGAGAAACATGTTGTGTTTCTTGTGGGTTTTAGGAAATCTGCAAAGCCAGCTGTGGAGAATCCTTACAACCTAGAAGGACGGACTAATAACGCCTACGAGGACATGGATAATGAACAAACCGGACTGTGAGATACTGAATAACAGAGGAGAGATTTGTCCTCATAGATAGAAAAACCACCATTTATTTTGTCTTGCTCAAGAAAAATTATATATGTGCAAAATGTAAATATGTCTTTAAATGTTTGGTACCAGTTTACAATAAGGCTCCCCTTTAAATGACTGATAGATTGTTCATAGTTGTGTTATTAATGAATCTGTAAGACTTTATATATTATTAATAAGTGCTTATTATGCATTAATTTATAGAGAAATAGAGAACAGACTGGGCTCACCATTTTGAAAGAAACTGACCAGCTCCTTTCTCACTCATAATTATTGTATAATAAACATTTATTGAGGATGAATAAAGTGTTATATATAAATCTGTAAACAATTTACTATTTATAAGGGAACCCTAATTTATCTTATTTTATTACTGTTAAAACTTTAAACCAAAGTTGATTACAACCACTTCCATTCACCTTAATTGTAGTTGAACATTCCTTTTTTAAATTAAATATGTTAATGTCAATGTGATACAATAATTAAATTTTAAATTACGATCATCCATAAGTAAGGGTGAATTATACATATTTTGTTAAGCATATTTTAGGACTAAAGTCTGAAGTTGCACACATTTTTGAACCAAAGCAACAATTCTGATGGGGGTGAAAAATGGTGGTGACATTTGTAAATGTGAAGCTTTTTGGGAATACCTACATTGTTTTGTCTCATTCACTTATCAGACTGTGTTTTGCAATTTAGAGAATAGCAACACTTTTTATTTTGCTGCTAGAATGTTTAAAGCTGAGTTAAAATGCCTCTCTTTGGGACATTTCATATTCTACAAAGGTATTTTATATAGAAAATAGGAATTTGATAGCCTCTTTCATTGGTTAAAATGTTGATGTTGTACATTTGAAATAAACAGCAGTCAATTGTCATGAAAAAGTTTAATTGAACTTACCTCTGATAAAAAAAGCTAAAATTTAAACATATGTAACATGTTACAGAATAAGCCGAGTCATTTACCAGAGTCACAAAATCTCCTGCAATTTCATTTTTAAAAAGCACCAATGAGGCGTTGCTTACAGTCTGACTTATGGTTACCACAGATGGAAAATAAATACTAGACAAAAATGACTTAATTGAGGGAAAATCTCCCCATTACTTCTGAATGATGAAGAGGAACGATGAATCCCCACCTCTATCGGTCTCTCCCATTTCCACCATGTCTGTGTTGACTATATGGATGAACCAGCCTTTGAAGAGCGCAGACTCAAATTTTCGCTGTTTGGTTCGATCAGACTTCATGTAGAAGACGAAGGAGTAGGTGCCCTCATCCCTCTTGGAGATCTGCATTAGCTTCTGCTTTTCACACGTCTATGAGCACAAAAATGATTCCAGTTCATTTGATTAATTTTTCATTAGAAAAAAAATTATTTTTTTAATGTATCAGAAATAGTTTCCTCCTTCAACTTCATTGTTCCAAATCTTTTGAATGAACCATACTTTACTCCTCCTAGTTTAATTTTTATTTATTTTTTGTCAAATCACATTTAGCATAAACATACGTTGGTCAATTGTAATATAACAACTAGTAAAAGGATAAAGTGGGAAGTTCTTTATATTTTGTTGCAACAAATCTGCATCGTGGGTGAATGTTGTCACATTCATGCACTGATTTGGAGTATTTAGCTCATCCTAACAAAGTTTATGTGATGAAACAAACACAGGAGCTCGTTTGGAGAATGATACCTCCAGTTGTAGGAAGACTTTGGTCCCATTCTTGCAGCATCTAAGAAAGCAGTTGGAGCCAGTAATGTTCAGGACCACCGGCATTCCCCTGAAAAACTTGTCCATAGCAGATGACTTATAGTAGTAGATGGTAATCCTCTCTGAACTCAGAGGAAAATGGACACACTGAAGTTAGCTTCTATAAAGGAATGTTTTTAGACCATCGTGCTGACAACACAAGTCACCTGGATTTGGTGAAGAATACAGAATATTCTCTGAGCAGCTTCCTCTGAGGTATTGATAAGTCGATACGTTTTGAACCAGAACGTCAGCCATCTTTTCCTGTCTGAAAGTGGCATCTCCTCCTCCTCCTCTAGGAACTGAAAATGACACATCAAAAACAGGAAATGCTGGTTCTACTCTATTTTCAGAGGTGATGGGAAAGTCCAGAAGGACATTACAACAGTCAGAATAAATGTGGACAGTCCCTTAGACTTAGCTGCTTATTTGCATAAACTGGCATTGTACGCTATACTAAGGAAAAAGAAGAAAAAAGGGCTAGAAGCTTTCTCACCGAGCGTCACAGTACTGTATTCTGACACCACGATGATGTCATTAAAGATGCATCCCGTCCCTTGACAGCCTTTACAGGGGGTCCCGACTTCACAGCCCCTCCCACTAACCACAGAGATGCTGGTATTGGTCATACGAACAACAAGCAGGTCTCCCTCTTCCATGTGACTCTCATCTCTACTTGCACCTCCATTTGCACTTGTTTGATTTTCCTCTTCTATGTCTTCCTCTCTAGTCATCTCCCAGCTAAAATTCAGAGTGATGGGTTCCTTGGAGTAGGGTTGTAAAGTCTCCTCTCCAGGGAGCTGAGGCTCAGCTTCTCCCTTTTTCCTTTCTGGTTTGTGGACTGTCTAACGAAAAAGAAAAGAACAAAAACAATGTGTTCTCTTTCAAAGG